GTGTCTTTTTGTGTCAGTATCTAAATTGTCGACGGGTATTTTCTTGTCAAAAACCTGTAGGGATGCTAGATTCCTTTCTTATCAAGTTGTTTCTGCTCACATGTACGAAAGCCTATCAGGATCAATTTACGAGAAAAAACTTAAAAGGCGTTGATTATAACGCAAAGTGAAAAGACATTATTACGCCTTTTGTAAAGCCATAAAAGGCAAAAAAAATAAAAAAAAAAAAATAAAAATGAAAGGTGTTAGAATACTTATTATTGAGAATTCAAAAGGCGTTATTATAAATGCTTACAAATTATGAAGTACATAATATCTCGTTATTAAGACTTTTGAAAAACGTAAAAAAGGCGTTATTACAGTAACGCCTTTTTGACGTTATTACGTCTTTTTCGAGTTATAACGCCTTTCACGTTGAGTTCTTTTTATTTTTTTTAAGGCGTAATTGGATCAATGTGCCATCGATAATACAATTTGTTTTACGTACTTTCGACCATTTTGTTTCCCTCGTGTTTTCTTTTTTGTTATGCACCCAAAACAAGGAGCTGTCTACTTCTTTTGATTATCCGAGTACATTGAATTATTTTTGTGAAAGAAGACATGGTCTTATATACATGTATATATACGTATAGGAGAGATAACAAGGAAGAAAGAAAACGGAATCGAAATAATAATAATTTTTAAAAAATCACGGATTTAACCGTTTTGCTCTCTCGAGGGAAAACTTAGCATTTTTGGAGAGTTTTGTAGATGGCAAATTTTGATGAATGCATTGATTTTTCAATTCATAACATTTTTCTATCATGCATGCAAAATTGCACTTCGTTGCACATCCTGTGTATTAAATTATGTTGCATGGAAAACGTCTATTCTTGTCATCTCTCTGGAATCTGTTTTTCTTGTCAGCAACATTCAGATAACACGCCATAGAAAATCAGTATTTATTGCTCAATGAAGAGATTTATCCCTCCATCTCTCCACAACAAATGTGCTCGGTGTCATCGGGTCTTAGAATTCTATTAATGATAAGATGGATAAAAAGAACATCTCCATGAAACAGATTACTCTATGGTTTCTGACGATCGATGGTTGCATGAGTTAATAAAACTGAGTGTATATATATGTATACACTGAGAGGCCTGTGCATACATGTATATCAATAAAACGGTTTCAAAAGGGGGGCAACATCCCCCCCCCCCCCAAATCTGACAAACCAAAATAAAATACAAAAAAAAAAAAAAAATAAATAAATAAATAAAAAAAAAAAATGGGGGGGGGGGGCAGTATCTACTGAAAATTTACTATAGCAAGATACTTTACTCAGGAAAAAAGTGGGAGACACCCCCCCCCCCCGCGTTATACGGGCCTGAGTGTAAAATAAAATAAATAAATAAAGTGTAATTTAAAGTAAAGTGTAATTTAAACTTTTATACTGAACATTTCTCCTTGACATGACACAATCCGTAAGGTAAACAAGATTATCTGAAAGTTTCAAGGGTCAGATATAAGATTTTGTCAATCTAAATGACGTTTTTTTTATATCATTTAAAAGTGCATAAAAAGTTTAAAAACATGTGAATGTTTAATCGACTTTTTAAATATAAAAATCCCTAGAAATTCTGCAGATGATCTTTTTGGAGTATCGTTGATAAAACTTTTGTTAATCATTTTGCACAGTAATGCACGTCTTATACTTTACATATAACTCACTTGGTACATTTGTAGTCACAGCAAATCAAAAAGGTGTCGTACGTTCCAGTATTATCTATAGATATGAGAGGATAATTATCTCATTATCTAGCTCTTTATCCATTATTTATCTCACTCTGTCAGATCTTTACTAGAGACTGTCTAATCAAAAAGTAAACAGGGGTCAATGTTCACATAAAGATGTATAAGTTCTCGTTGACGGCATCATTTTGAGCGGTAATGTTATATTTATACTGCTGCTTTATTATCTTTTTTTGCGCATGTTATACGATATAACATGGTTTGAGGCAGTGCACGCTTTATAATCCGCAAACTTATTCTGAAAGTATTTACCCTTGATATCTGGAATCCTCGGATATCTCTTGGTCCCATCGAGTTCGAGATAATGAGGTTTGGCTATATCTTTAAATTCTTATTCAAGAAACAATACTTAAACATTTGAATAAGATTTTCACTAAAAACCAAACTGCAGGAGATAAGATGTTATTACAGGCATATCTGAACTACACTGTGATAATACCTGTTCTTAGATGATTTTCAGAATGCTAGATTTTGCTTATCCCCCCCCCAAAAAAAAGGGGGGGCTGTATTCATCCTGTATTGCTAATCCTGGATCCACTCCTGGTGAATTACAAATAAGATTATAATAGTTTCTTTATGAATGTAAACTTGGGAATGTGTGAATAATAACATGGCAACAAATTTAAAAAGACTGAATATTTTTTTAAAGAAGCAGATGAATTTCAAATCAAAGAGAATCCCTCCTACATGTAACAACACATGTGCTGTCACTATGTTTCTTCTACTTTTAAAATTTCAATGTCAATTTTGAAGAAAAGTTGCAAACATTAATTTATTATACATAACAATTTAATTCAGAATGCCTTAATGGGAATTACCATGTGCTCCAGTGTCTATATACCCCCCCCCCCCAAAAGACAGTAACTTCTTTATTTTGACATAGTGACTGTGTAGAATTCAGACATGATTGGATCACTCCATATATATGCATATTAAATTAACATAGTGTTTAACAGCTGTTTTACCAAATTTCTTAACTACTGAGTGAAACAGATATTAATGACATAGCGTAATTTTCAGGTTCCAGTGAGAAAAAAAAAATTAACCCCCCCCCCAATCAAATAGCACCTGTTATCATTTACTGTGGTCTGTAAATGAATGTTAAAAGATCTGTTCATGCTGGAAATCTAAACAATTAAAAGGCATTTCACAGAAACATGACACTAATACGCTATCAGTTAGGATGTCCATGTCATTTACATCTTTTGGTAATTTCAATTTCATTTCTAAATCATAGAAAATTGACAACAACAAAAAAAGAGAGAGGGGAAACTGTAGTGAAATAACTTCAGAACCTTGATGTGTTAGCAGACAAATGTGCAGTATCACTAGTGACATCCAGATGTTTACAGAACTTTCATCTTCTTTTTATAAACATGTGATATAATGAATTCTGCACAATGTCAGCATCATTGAGGACACTCTAAACCACAGGCACTTGTTTCAGTAATAAATTTTGTAATCCATACTAGTATAATATAACATATTACACCATGGGTTAAATAATTTATTACCCAAACAAGTATATAATAATTATGCTATGGGTTAAAAAATTTATACCGGTGCTCTAAATACTGAGTGCTAATGTTAGGGTAGCTTTATGCAGTTTGAGTGATCTGCCCTTAAATGTAAGATCCAATAAACAGGAAACAAGAGGCCCATGGGCCACATCGCTCACCTGAGTAACTTTGGCCATGCTGTTCATTACCAGACTTCCCCCCTTGTAATACCTATTGTGGCCCCGCCCTACCCCCGGGGGTCATGATTTGAACAATTTAGAATCTACACTACCCCAGGATGCTTCCACATAAGTTTCAGTTTTTCTGGTCCAGTGGTTCTTGAGAAGATTTTTAAAGATTTTTCCTATATATTTCAATTTTTCCCTATTGTGGCCCCGCCCTACCCCCGGGGTCATGATTTGAACAATTTAGAATCTACACTACCCCAGGATGCTTCCACATAAGTTTCAGCTTTTCTGTCTCAGTGGTTCTTGAGAAGAAGATTTTTAAAGATTCTTTCTATATATTTCAATGTAAAACTTGTATTCCCTATTGTGGCCCCGCCCTACCCCCGGGGGTCATGATTTGAACAATTTAGAATCTACACTATCCCAGGATGCTTCCACATAAGTTTCAGCTTTTCTGGCTCAGTGGTTCTTGAGAAGAAGATTTTTAAAGATTTTTCCTATATATTTCAATGTAAAATTTGTATTCCCTATTGTGGCCCCGCCCTACCCCCGGGGGTCATGATTTTAACAATTTAGAATCTACACTATCCCAGGATGCTTCCACATAAGTTTCAGCTTTTCTGGCTCAGTGGTTCTTGAGAAGAAGATTTTTAAAGATTTTTCCTATATATTTCAATGTAAAATTTGTATTCCCTATTGTGGCCCCGCCCTACCCCCGGGGGTCATGATTTTAACAATTTAGAATCTACACTACCCCAGGATGCTTCCACATAAGTTTCAGCTTTTCTGGCTCAGTGGTTCTTGAGAAGAAGATTTTTAAAGATTTTCCCTATATATTTCAATGTAAAACTTGGATTCCCTATTGTGGCCCTGTCCTACCCCCGGGGGTCATGATTTTAAAAATTTAGAATCTACACTACCCCAGGATGCTTCCACTTAAGTTTCAGCTTTTCTGGCTCAGTGGTTCTTGAGAAGAAGATTTTTAAAGATTTTTCCTATATATTTCAATGTAAAACTTGGATTCCCTATTGTGGCCCCGCCCTACCCCCGGGGGTCATGATTTTAACAATTTAGAATCTACACTATCCCAGGATGCTTCCACATAAGTTTCAGCTTTTCTGCCCCAGTGGTTCTTGAGAAGAAGATTTTTTAATGACCCCACCCTATTTTTGTCTTTTCTTGATTATCTCCCCTTGTAAGGGGACTTGGCCCTTTATTTTAACAATTTAAACTCCCCTTTACCCAAGGGTACTTTGTACCAAGTTTGGTTAAAATTGGCCCAGTGGTTCTTGAGAAGAAGTTGAAAATGTGAAAAGTTTACAGACGGACGGACGGACAGACGGACAGACGGACGGACGGACGACGGACAACGGGTGATCAGAAAAGCTCACTTGAGCTTTCAGCTCAGGTGAGCTAAAAATGTAATAGATCAATGTATTCTTCTCATCATATTAAACCAAGATAAAGTGATTAATTACCTTATGTCATTTATTTTACAAAAGTAAGGAAATACCAGTGATTTCTGTTTACTAACACTTCATTATCTGAATATTTTTCCTGAGGAAATATATGTTGAAAATGAACTAGATAAAATCAATACATGTACACTTTTATATGAAACAGTTTTTTTTTTCAAAAGTCCCCAAAACATTTTTACTTATTGTTTAGAGGCTCCTTAAGATTTTTGTATAGCGGAGATATAAATTTACATTACAAAAGTCACCTTCCCTTTAAAACATTTCTACTCTTGTTTTAATAACATTTTAAGTATGTCATAATATAAAGTTTTGAACTGTTTGTCTTCAAATACACTATCTCACTTTCCCTCTAGCTTCATTTATGGTTTTCTTTTCATCAGATTTATGCTTTTCATAAAGTTTTCTAATCTTCATCATTAATTCCTCAATCCCAGTCTGTTTGGCTGCAGAAATTGCAATAACAGGTAAGTCTACATTGGCTTTTAACACCTCCAGATTTTTCTCCGCCACACTTAGATCCACCTTGTTGGCCACAATCAAATTAGGTCGTGTAGAGAGTCCCTCTTGATACTGTTCAAGTTCATACTGTAGGGCTCTGAACTGGGTCCAGGGTTCGGTATACGACAGGTCTATAACATAGAGGAGACAGGCACAACGCTGTATGTGTTGTAGAAAGGAAAACCCCAGGCCTAAATTCTTGTGAGCTCCCACAATCAGCCCCGGAATATCTGCAACTGGTCAACACAGAAAAACAAGTACAGTTGAACTCTGTTATCTTCAACTTCGATATCTCGAATACCATGGATATGTTGAAGTGAATAAAAAAGTCTCAACTGCTTTTTCTTTACAAATTTTAATTTTGAATTTTCGAATCATTAAGATACCTCAAAGATTTTTCTTGGTCCATAGAATTAGAGAAAGTGATATTTGACTGTAATTGATTTAAATAAGGATTCAAATGAAACCTTCTGCTTATGCTTTCTCAGTAACATGGACATATAATTTAAAAAAAAAATTACTTCCAAAGAGTTCCAATGAGCAATAATTATCAGTACTAAATAACTCAGTTCAACTGTGGTGTTTAGAAAAGACAACAAAAATAAACCAGAATGTACAAGGGAAATTACTCTAACTCAAGTTTTCATTTACAGTCAATTTAATTCTAACAATTTTTTGTTAAGAAAAGACTTTTCAGAAGATCAAAAGATTCCTGGTGTAACAAGTGTACAAAATCCTTTGAGGATCAATTTTCCTACCTGTAATTTGCTCATGGTCTGAATACTCCATAATTCCAACAAATGGGTTTCGTGTTGTGAATGGATATGCCGCTACCTTAGGTTTGGCCCTAGTAATGGCCCTCAGAAGTGTAGATTTCCCGGCATTTGGAAATCCTATCTATAAATTAATAAGGAAATATGGAAGAAGTTAATGAATGATGAATGTGGATTGACAAAATTGGCAAATATTCAAAAATTATTTGGCTTAGTTCTCAAAACTTCAAACCCTCTTTAAACACATAAAACAGAAAATTTTCCTTTTTTAAAAAAATTAATATTGAGAAAAGATATGTGAACTTTTCCTAATATAATAATGAATTTGTTTAAAAGACGCCCAGGATAAATGAACATTTTGTGCTTTAATTCTAGAGAGTAATTAACAATGTATTATGATCTTGATTTACCAGACCAATATTAGCCATTGTTCTCAGTTCTACTCTCAGGCGGTGGTACTCTCCCTTGCCCCCTTTCTCTGCTATTGTGGGTGCTCTATTTTCATTGGACAGGAAGAATTGATTGCCTTTTCCCCCAACTCCACCCCTCCCTGCCACATAATAGTCTCCATCACACTCCAGATTAGCAAGTTCCTGGCCATTCATGGAGCTGATCACTGTTCCCATTGGAACCTATCAAAATACCACAATAGTCCATATCATTTCTCTAAATCAGAAATTAAGAATACCTCAGTAATAATCACTGAACAATTTATTATGAATCTTAAAAATAAAATTTTAAAACAAAGTACATTTAATCAAATATGACTACTGGATACTTAATGATAAAAAAAAAAAGTTAAAGATATTAATCTAATGTTTCAAACTTTATTTGAACTACTGTAAACATACTTTATTCTATGGGATCATAATTCTGCGGAATTACAACTTCTATTCAATCCGCAGAAAAATATGCAGATTTCATGAACTGTCATTGTTAGTCTTTAATGCACTTTTAGTTTGCTGTGACAAATTTCCACAGAAAATTAGTGACAGCGTATATAATGATAATTAATCCCAATGCAGAAAAAAGTACATCTATAATATAAGCTTACTTTTACATATGTGTGATCCACAGAAGCACCATGGCAGTTTTGTGATTTTCCAGCCACTCCTTTATCAGCTCTGATGTCTGAGGATAAATGATTCAATGATTTCTCTGTAGTGGTGGCTGAAATGTGAAGGTAAATCTTAGAGGTAAAAATGGTCTTGTATCAGAATTCATATCAAGTCAAGGTAAAATTATAGGTAACCTGTAAAGGGTGCCCCATGCAATACCTTCAATAAATACCGAATTTGTTATACATATACATGAATTCATCAATACTTCATTTTGTACTAATTTGAGATTAGGAAAAAACTTCTCAATTAATGCTTGTACACCATGTACACTTATTTACTATCAGTGTGTTTTTTTCTGTACATCTTTATTTTCACAGTATATCATACTTGTAGTAATTCAAGTGACAATTATATTAGAACAAAGACTTTCAGTTAGTTTTGTTTAAAATTGCTATCCCTGAAGTTTTTTGACTCTTTTTGAATAAAAACTTGTACAAGTGTAGACTGAAACAGTTATGCTATCTAGAACACTTTAGGTGTAATTATATATTTAAGGATTTCTCACCTATGAATATGACATGTCCTCCATTTCCACCATCTCCTCCATCAGGCCCTGCAAATTCTTTCCTTGGAATTTTTGCAAATGACATGCAGCCATCTCCTCCATCACCCCCATATACCTGCACCTCCTTATAATCAATAAAATGTTTAGCCTGAAAAAAAAAGAGCTATTCAATATAATAATTTAATATTTATTTTTAAAAAAAGCTTTTCAAGGATATACCTTCATAAAACTTAATTTAAAATATTTTCATAAGTAAAAACTATGATTCCTTATGGTTAAATAACATGATATTTGACATTTTTATAATTAAAATTATTTTCAAAAATGATTTCAATGTTAAACATCAAAATGAGAGTACCATACTCTGCACTCATATCAATGGCAAGATAAACTGAATTTTTTTGAGAGAGACTGACCTGAAACTGTCCCGCATAGCCACAATGATCAACACTTTTGATGAGTAGTCACAAAGTTAAAGGTATCAGACCCCCTTTATTGTTAAAAATGACTATCTCAAATAATCTACATTGATTTGAAAGCAATGCATGAACTTAACTATGTGTAACACAATAATTAGTCAAAACAGACTACAAGACAATATTTATTATTCCAAATCGGGGCCCTTTTGAGCATATTACATACATGATTATTAAACAGAACATATAAATATAATAATTATTCACAAAATGTGATAATAGTAATATTCAGCATTTTCTTAACACATATACTTAGTCAATTTACTCTTGGTTCATAAGTTGATATAATTGCTAACATGTACAATTTGAAATACACATTGTAAAGTATAAACAAGTACCACCGTGTACCATAATGCAAAAAAGCCAGAGATATACATATACAAAAATATAAACTGAATAGATATATACAACTAAATTGCAAAAGATACCACAGGACAGTGCATTGGTACTTTATAAGTCACCATGTTTGCTTATCTTATGACCAAACTAACATTTATTGAGTGTTAAAAGTATACAATTTTTAAATTCTATATACATGTAGAAGACAAATTATATTTCTCCCTTGATCAATTCACAAAGGGATTTAAGAACATCATAATTTTCACAATTCAATATCCATATTAATTTGTTCATGTTGTCAAGAAGTAAAATTTGTTTACAATGTTGTTGTATACTTTCATACATATTTTGCCTAAGTAAATTATATTTTGGGCATTCAAAGAGTAAATGAATTTCATCTCCAACTTGGTGAGAAGAACAATTTGTACAAATTCTTAGTTGCCTGGGAATCCCTAAGTAACGACCTCGTTCAAAACAGACTACATGTCCTTTAATCTTCATCTCGTTTTTTTTTTTTTTTACTTACATCCCCCACATGAAAATTGGGAATTTATTATGGTAATTCTTTTTTAATTTAAAGTCTTATTTCACTTCCGCCATATTGATAAAATAAAATCAACTGTTCTTGATTAATTTTAGTGTGAACCTTTTACATGCATGTACCTCATTAGTGACGCCTCTCTTTGTTCGGGGCAATAAAGGTCTGTAAGATGAAAACACAGCGACAATATTCTTTTCAAAACACTGGTTCAACAATTTCAATTTACTATACGTAAATGGCAATGAAGGACAACGTCGTAAAATTTTCATATTTGATTCCTACATTGCAATAAGATTAACAGAGATAATTCGAAATTGACAGTTCTGAGGAGTCGTACGAATGAAATTCTACTTTCAAGCAATATCTTTTATCCTGTGTAATTTTCGAAGAGACATTTATTCTTTAACATTACCTGTTTCCATCAAATAGTTGTTTATTGAAAATATGCTAAAATAATTTGACTGGAATATTTTTTAAATGAAATTTTCTTTAAATAAATGAACGAGTTAACTTTTCAAAGCACATTAAGCCTGGGGTAAAACAAGTCCCATTGAAATATGAATACAGGGTATCTGAGACCTTAAAATAGATCACGGTGCATCGAAACGCCGAAATGTCGGGTTTCTGCCGAAATGTAAGTAGAATGCGCCGAAATGACTAATGAAATACTGCAATGACTGTGGATATCAATTGATACGGATACTAATACCCCAAAAACATAAACTTTTTGAGGTCAATCCTTACCCCTAAGGTTTTAGAGCCCATTTATCGTAAATATTGGAGGAAGTCAGCCGCCATTGACGGGTTTCATAGTATACCGTATACCACGCCCGATTTTTTTTTTTTTTTTTTTTTTTTTTTTTTTTTTTTTTTTTTTTTTTTTTTTTTTTGTCTTATAAATTACAGATATGTTATAAATGTTTCAGTCATTATACAATTATCATTATTTATGAGGAAAAACATTTATTTTTTCAAGAATAAAAGAATAAATGATTTAAAAACATAATTATCAATTATAAATTATTGTCCCATAGCAAAAAGAAATGGCATTTTTCCATTTTATCTCCATTCATTCAGCATTTTCTAGCCATTTTTCATTTTAAAAACATTTTTCCTACATTTCTCTATCTTTCAATTTTCCAAAACCATTTTTTCAGAACCATTTCAAAACCATTTTTGTTAGAAAATGCTTTTTAAATGGTAAACCTTCACCATTTTTTCTCCATTTACTTGAGTAAATGGAAAAGAAATGCCAGTTTGGTGATCTAACTTGCTTGAGCTTGCCATTTTTCTTCCATTTATTTTCTGAGAAATGGAAAAATGAAGAAATGGTTAGTTTTAGGCATATTCTTAACCCTTAAGATTTGTCAGCAGTTAATTGATGCCAGGTGCCAAGTTTGTATAATGGGCCAGAGGCTATCAGATTTCCTCCCCAGCTCTGTGGTGACCGCCTTTCTCAGTTATTTTAAACATTGGACAAAAGCACTTCGACCTAGCTGGTAGTGATGGAGCTTAGATGGCTGAATTATTCTTCAAGGAAGATTGGGGTTTTTAGTATTTTTGATGCTGAAAAAACTGTACATTGATGATCAAAGCAGAATTATAAGATAACGTAACTTCTTGGAGAATGATTATCTGACAGTTTTAATGTTTCTAATATTTGGGGAGTGGTGGAGAAGAAAAACAACACATTTACCATCACTGAAAGGGTATTCTTTTTGAGAAGTAAGTATATATATTCACATATTTTTATTAATGTCAACAACACAAAAATGCTTTTTCTAAAGAAAACATGTACATTAGGAGTGTCCACTGATCATATTGATGCAATAATTAATTTATAAACCAATCTAGTTAAAACTTAGACTGATCGAGGGACACTATTGTAAATTCTTATAAACTTCAATTATTAACTATTTTCTTGCTCACTTTTCTCAGGTAAATGGTTAAATTTCTTCTGCAATCTGTTCAACCTATTAAATCATTTGTTTCTGATGAAATAGTGAATATACAGGCAGGGCAGTACTTGTACATGTATACTTATATTGTTCATGAATACAGACCTCGTAAAAGTTATTAGATTTATGCTACAGGAGTAACGATCAGCTGCAGTAGTGAAAAAAATTTGACAAAACAGTTTTCTGTTCTTTTCTCATTATGCATTTTGTTTATTTTTAGAATATGTACTGCTTGCATATGGAACACCAAAATGAACATGGAAACTGTAAATTAATTGTCAAAGATGCAGACTACCATTATTCAAATCGAATTAGGAGATTAATCCATCAAAATTTCTAGGAATGCAAAACAAAGTTTGTGAAAAAATAAAACATTTGACCTTTGTTTCATGACTGACTCTACTACCAAGAAGATGGATTTTCAAAGCGCTTATTCTGTGGATATTGAGAACCCAGCTTTTTTCATTTTTCAATTATTGTAAAAATGTTTTTAAAATGGATATTAAATGGTTAAAACAAAAACCATTTATTTTTCATTTTTCTTCTCATTTGCATAAATGGTTTTGGAATGGTTAATTTGCATGTTATAAGGCCCAAAAAAATGGAGTTTGAATGGATGTTAAATGAGGTTTGAATGGAAATAAAATGAAAAATGGTTTTTAAATGATAATCCTTTCTGTTGAGAATTCTTGAAACTGTTGATGATATAAAATGGCTCCCGAATGGTTTTAAAATGGTCAGAAAAGAAATGTCTTTTAAATGGTAATTAAATGGATTTCATTTTGATAAGGGGTGAATATCAATGGAATATTATTGATGTACAATTGATAAATTTATATCGTAAACAATGTTTGGAAACTGGGGATTTTGTTTTCTGTTTGTTTGTGTTTTTTATTTAATTTTTTTTCTTTGTATTAATGGTTTGAACATATTTTATTGTATAAATAATATACAAATGGTTTGAACACAAGTTCTAACAACTTACGAGGTTCTCACCATAAATGTCTACAACTGTCAAGATCTATATACATTAATTACATGATAAATATATAACTAACTAGAGTTTTAGTGTAAGGCTGTAATAATTAATTAAATCTGCCAGAATCTCTTAAAAATTTTTGTTCAGATTGAAAAATATATTTATTGATTTCAACATTTTGTGACTCATCTCCCCACAGAAGTAGGTGACAATCAATAATATTCAATTTAGTGTTTGGTTTAATAAGACACAGTAGGTTTCTAAATAGTTCCTCTCTAGCATGTTGATATTTATTACATACAAAGAAGAAATGATCGATATATGGGTCTTCTGGTGTACCACATGACTAATTTATAGGACTCTCAATAATGTTTCTTTTATAAAGATCATAATTTAATTGTATTTATTTAATTAAATAAATCTTGAAAAGGATAGAATGCAAGTTATTTAAACTTAAAAGATCCTTTCCTCATTATACAAGCAGTGTATAAAATATGATTGTCATAACAGTTATATCATACAAGCAATATATATTAATTTGAACAAGAAGATTGCATGTTTATCAACTTCATGCAGATGGATCAAGTACTTAATGAATTTTTTGAGAATTTGGAAATTTATCACAGTTTCAATCACCTTAAGTAATAAAATAAAATTGTCTCTCATATGGTGTGTACATTAATTTGTTAGACACAATTTGTGCAATAAGTTATTCATGTTTCATGCTGGTAGCAATTGAACTTAACATTTTGTAATATTTTGTATTATATGTTGAAATGCGATAAGATGTATGTCTTAAGCAATAAATAAATAATAATAATATATTAATGATGTGAATTAATTAATTTAACAAAACAAAGGGAAACACTGTAATATAGTAAATGTCATCTGATTCATGTTTTGGTTTCTTAAAAATGCTTTTAACTATATAAATACATATGTTTACATATTGAATTTAGTTTAATCTTATAAATCTTCTGCCATTTGCCTTTATTGTATATGTTGTGCCTCTTTCATTAAACATCATTAGTGAACCTGATACAAGTCACATGCAGGCATCTTCAATTACACACAGGGAAGCATCTTGTGTATACACTTGCTGACACCTGGGCATGGTGGTATAATCAACTCCTATTGTTTAAACACCTGTTTGGTTCACACATGGTATAATTTGTATAGATCATGTAGATGTGATATACACCTGACCTAGTAATTTGAATCTGAATTCCAATTCACTGATCTTACATTGTTTAACTTACAGTATTTCTACATCTAGTAAATAAACTAATTCCTAAATTCTCATATTATTTTCACTTCCTTATATCACAATTATGCAAGAATAAAAGAAAGTGATTTAAAAATAAATTAATTGGAATTATCATTATAAATTGATTTGAACATCAATGAATTATTGAAATTCACTTCAAAGGATTGGATACAAGTAAATCTTTCAACTTAATAGATCCTTTCCTCATTTTACAAACAATGAATAAAATATGAATGTCAAAACAAATAAATTGAGTTATTTTACAGTTATGTTATACATGCAACAAGAAGATTGCATGTTTATCAAATTTATCCCAGTTTTAATTAAATATTAAAGAAGCATACAAATTGAGTAAATGAAAATCATTTAATTTGAATTAAATACTGAATAATAGCATTATAAAACAAAGTTATATACTAATTTAGTAAGGACGTCAGTCATAAGGAAAATAAGAATTTTTTGGCAATGAATTATTCACAGTTTCCATATGTCCAGCTCTAGCCACGTGGAGGCCTCCTTTATCTAGAGCCATAATTTAAAACATTTTGGAAAAATAAAAATAAAAAAGTATTGTGTTTGAGACAATAATTAAGAACAGTTCTCCAAATACAATCTCATCCTTGGTATTATTAGTAATTCCTGTGGTTTTCTTTGCTTTTAATTAAGTTTTAATGTACATATTATGTGCTATTGTTTAGTTCATTCTTTTTTAGAATGCTATTGACCAAATAACCTAGCTTTATGCATTTTGCTAAGTTTTGGTGTTCTTTGTGTATGTATTTCTTTATAACTTCCATATTTTTTTAAAGCTCTAATTCCATCTATTCCAACTCATTTTAACAAATTTTCTTTATTTTTCTCATTCATTTCTAAAAAGATTAAATGTTTAAGTGGAAAATAACAATATTTTTATTTTCCCCCATATGATATCCAAAATATGTTTGTTTGGCTTTTCTTTAGAGGTTAATTTTCCATTTTCTTTCTTTCTTTCTTTTTTTTAAATTTATTTTTCAAATTCAAAATTATGACTCTTATTTGGGGTGGCCTCCACGTGGCAAGAACTGGGCAACGTAATCAGACTTTTCTTTTTAAAGTCTATTTAAAACGGCTAACTATCCCAATGTTTGATAATCTAAAAGTATTTGATAATCTAAAAGTAAATTTTTTTTCTAATATTAAGTCAAAATTTTTTAATAAGAAACTTATGTTATAAATTTTTCTATTATTATTAATTTTAATACTTAATTATATGTTGTTGTTTTTTTCCTTAGCTAATATTCTAATATTTAAATTATCCTGATGACCAACATCCTCGTTAATTATTTTTTTTTTTAAAAAAGAAATAAGGTATATAATATATAGTGCAAAATTTAAATAAAAACGTAATACGAGACTGACATATTACAAAGCGGATTTTAAAAAAACAATCGGGCGTGGTATACGGTATACTATGAAACCCGTCAATGGCGGCTGACTTCCTCCAATATTTACGATAAAATGGGCTCTAAAACCCTAGGGGTAAGGATTGACCTCAAAAAGTTTATGTTTTTGGGGTATTAGTATCCGTATCAATTGATATCCACAGTCATTGCAGTATTTCATTAGTCATTTCGGCGCATTCTACTTACATTTCGGCAGAAACCCGACATTTCGGCGTTTCGTGTCACCCAATAGATCATAATGTATATGTGTCAGTTTTTAAATGTGTTGTGTAGGTTTTTGAACATCTTATTGAATTAGACCTCATACTAGCTCGTAATTTTTCAGTTGATTATTAGGTGAAAGAAGATTATTACCCAAATCTCAGACATTTACTGCGTGACTAGAATCAGACGAGGGTCAAAGTTGACCAAGATGGTTGTGAAAAGTGAGGAAGAAGTTATCCAAAACTCTATGACAGAAGATGACCCGAATTCAAATTCGGAGGCATCCTCGAGTGCACAACCAAGATGGGGCCCACAGCATGCAGGTGCAAAGGAGTTGGCTTCACATTACTCAAAAGGTAAGCCTAATTAGGAAGTGACTTGACCAGTTCCTTGACGACCGGTGTGTTATGAAACTTTTTTTTTTTTTTTGAAAAGGAAAGTTTTAATGGTTTGTCACATAAAAAGCATGTGATCTTTTACTTATTGTTGATAGACATTAGACAAGTCACATGTTGCCAACCACGCCCAGATTTCTAGCATATATCCTATATATATGATTATGTAATTTTATATATATATATATATATATATGTATATATATATATATATATATATATATATATATATATATATATATATATATATATATAAAAGACACAATATTGACTGTAGTAAAACAAACATGTCTAGCACAATCTCTCAATTTTAGCTATATAGCTTGAATTAGCTATATATTATATAGCTTAATTAAGCCATTCAGAATAGCTTGAGTTATATGCATTTTTCCACAAAAATGCTTTTTGTCAGAAATGGACAAAAAGTCACAAGTATTTGACAATTCACACATGAGCTAATTGCTATGGATTATCAAAAAAGCAACCCAAATCAAAGATAGTTCTAACATTGCAGCATTTGAATGCATGTACTTTTAAGCAAATTGCTATAGATATACAGAACTACTGAGGTATATGAAAATCTTGGATCACTTTATAGACATTGTTTAATACATTATTTTTTTCTTCCAGGAAAAAGGGTACAAGAAACTTTATGTCTTATTGTGAGTATTGCATTGATGGCCTTTAACCTGAGTGCCCTTGTGCTTCACTTCAAAGCAGAAAATTGGTACATTGTCCTGATCTGCTCATGTGAGTACATGTATAATGTTCCAACTATTGCTTAAAATACATTAAAAAAATCAATTCTGTTCACATTTATGTTTATTAAAAAATGTAATTCGATGTTACGGTAACAATACAAAATAATTTACATTTTTATATGTTAAACTAAAAATTATTTTTTTGCTTATGTTTTGCAGTGTTAGGAATAGTGGTGGCCGACTTCTTTAGTGGACTGGTTCACTGGGGAGCAGATACCTGGGGGTCTATAGAAATTCCAGTTATTGGCAAGGTAATTGCTATTCAATATCTATTAAATAACAGATTATTGTCCCACACTTTTGCGAAAGCCTGGGGACATTAAATCTCATTCTTTTGTCCATCCGTCTGCCTTTCACAAAAACGAGAGCATTGATGATTACTCTTGAATGAGAGAAGATAAGGCTTTCATATTTCTCTTGCACATTAGCTGTGACATGACCTGAGTGTACTATGACTCTGACCTCATGACCTTGACCTATAAGTTTGACCTATTTTTAAAAAAATTTAACATTAGTAATAACTTTTGATTATGAGAAGCAAGTGCCTTTCATATTTTACTTATGCACTACCTGTGACAAGACCTTTCAGAATGTATTAGGACTTCGGACCTCATTTTAACCTTGGCCATAGCTTTTACACCTGAAGAGATGGGCTTTCATATTGCAGTAATTTCACATCTATATTACCTGTGACATGACCTTTCAGGGTGTTCTGTGATTTTTGACCTTGAAGTTTGATGTTAATTTCAAAAAAAAAAAATTAATCTTGGCTGTAACTTTTGAAACAGAACATTTTACTTCAAATTTTAAACAATTTTTTTTTGTATGATGAACAGATAATACAGTTACAATATGCCATTAATAATTGCACCCCTACCATTAAGACCCCAAAAGAAGGTGACTGCAATTCTCTTACTTTGCTCATGTTCTTCTAAGTCTGAAATATAAAGTCCCTACTCCCCAAAAGTACCGTTAATATAAACCAATTCACATATCTACTTTGGTTACTTTTAATTTTTATGTTAAATGATTCATGCTGTGAAGAAATATAATGGAAGGGAGACGTTATATTTTTTTACATAATGTTTACCAGAATATGGTTAAAACTTTTACCAGTATTTGATTGATATAAAAAATGTTATCTGTTTGCTTGTATTTCTTTTCAGGCCTTTATACGTCCTTTTAGGGAGCACCATATAGACCCCACCTCCATTACTAGACATGATTTTATAGAAACCAATGGTGATAATTTTGCTGTCGTAGTCCCTTTTCTGGGTCACATGGCCTACAAGTTCATCACGCTGTCTCCAGAGGAAATTGACAAGACATACAACTGGGAGTGTTTTGTATTTTTACTGGCCATCTTTGTCAGTCTGACTAACCAGGTACATGAATTAGCTCTCATAGCCTTTTGCTGATTTTAATAAGATCATTGCATAATAACTAATACAGTGTTTCATTGTATTTTCTGTCTATCTACTCACAGTATCCACAATAAGTCCAAAATTTGAGTTACTTGAACAAATTTCAAAGATGCAGTAGCATTTTTTCTAGGTTTGATTTTAATGGCAGTAAAGAAAAACATTTTCTTGTTTGTAGTTTTGCAGTTATACATCAGTTCTTAAGTAAAGTATGGCTATGATAATGGCCAGATATTTTAAATAAACACTCAAGTTTTCATTTTCTTTGTTTAGTTTCACAAGTGGTCACACACATATTTTGGATTACCAAAATGGATAACTTTTCTACAAGACATGCACATTATCCTACCAAAAAAGCACCACCGCATTCACCACGTGGCTCCCCATGAGACCTATTTCTGTATCACCACTGGCTGGCTCAATTATCCACTAGAAAAAATCGGCTTCTGGACATTTCTGGAAGACATGATTGAAAGATCAACTGGGAATAAGCCAAGAGCAGATGATTTTAAGTGGGCTCAGAAATGTCAATGATAATAGTTTAGTAGTACATGAAATATATTTTTTGAATTTCCATGGCCATTAATTAAGGGGAGACAATACACGTTATCAACCCGTGTTTGGTGTACCTGTGTCAAAGAACCAATTGTTTTTTTTTTTGTTTTGTTTTGTTTTTTTTTTAGGAAAATCAGTAAAATTTGGTAATGTCTAGGTTTTTTTTTAAGATTTTACAAAAAAAAAAAAAAAAAGTAGAGAGAAAGTAAGAAAGGAAGGAAGGAAAATTTTGATAACATTAGTAATATTTATATGTCTTACTTAGTTTTTATTTCTTTACATTCTTGTTCTCTATTTTTCATTTGTATGTGTATCCAATTAGACCAAGTTTGTTTATTGATTTTGAACTGTTAATTGTGAGACCTTAGAAGATGTGCAATAGACAAGGGAAAACTGTTTTCTGTGTTGGTTTTAGCTTGTGAAGCTCACTGATTTATTTACTTATTAAATGATACAAAGATTTTAAAATATTTATGCATGTTTTATTAAAAAAAAATGACTTTATCAAAGTCTTACTTTAAAATGATATCAAGTTTGCTCAGATAAAATATGGAAAAAACTACTGGTAGTTTAATTTTTAAGAAACATTATTTAATTAATCCACCATATCCTTTAAAGCCTTCCCTCCTTAATTGAAAGAGTAATGATCTGACTTGTTATTTAGTGATATTTAGTGATAGCATCACTTTATCAACAGAAATTGGGGTCAAATTTGTTTACTTTCTGTCTTATGTAACTTGAGTGTTTGATTATCAGGTGTTACATTTTCTGTAAACAAGACAAAGTACACTAGGGTGGTCATTGTTCAATCAATACAAGATACATTAAAAGGGCATGTTTTCTATTTTGTGTGATTTGCACACGTGTATATTGTTTTATCTGAGTACAATGTTTAATGTCAGTATATGTTACACAGTACTTGATATGTACCGTATTTAGAGACTTCTTTTTTTTTGCAGTTTCATGTAATAGTGTATGCACTTTTTGTAGTCTTTTTGGAATACTGTTGTAATTTATAAAGAAACGTCAAATTTTAAAAAGGCCATATATAAAGACTAGTTATTTATTATGGCTTATCATGTACCGGTAATTTTTATATATTGTCATAGATGTATAGATTCCGATCATGAGTTCTGATTTCTGAGAATTATTATATTGTTACAGTGCAGAAGTTTTGTCAATGGTAGAAACATAAATGATTCTGTACCTAACTTTAAATGTCACAATGGCAAAAAGTAACTCAAATGAGAGGTTTTTGTATACAAGTTTTATATGTACATGGCATAATGGGAGGCAAAATAATGATCATTTGTGGGAGTTGCTTAATACAAGGAAATAAATAGGATGAATTTATTAAGTCACCAGTGATCAGATGTTTTCTTATTAAAATTAAAGCTAATGTTAAATACAGATTGACTTTATATACATAGCTTGTGGGTATTGATGTGAACAAATTTTCTTCAGGATCATGCATACTTGTGATTTAGGCTCGTTAAACATATTTCATTTATATGATTTTTTTACAAATATAATGTTAATTTTCTCTTTCAAAAATCTTTTCAGTTCAAAAGCAGATAAATCAAATGAGCTTTATAATATTTCAAGATGAAGATAAAAGTACCATACATGTTCTTTGTTGCTTTTTCAGTGTATTTATAGACTTTTTTTATTGACATATCATGCCTTCTAAGTTAATTTATTAAATGTCATTTTACTAGAATATGTTTGGTATTGCATACCATCTTCTTACACTGAAGTATCAACTGTGTATACAAGATTTTTTAAGGGAGGTAATCTTTAAGATTTGTTCGTATTTGGTAATTGTGCTGTTAATTTTGTACCAGAATTTTTAAAAATCCCACTGAAGGAGTAGTGGAAATGTGAAGTTTCTATAAACTTCCTAACATTTTTTTCCCATGTTGAGGGAGTATTTGTGAGAGACAAGAATACAATAGCTTACTGTGTAGGATCTATAAATGTATATTGTATAATTTTCCTTGAATGTGTGCCTTGCTTTCCTGTTGTCGGTATAAAATGAACAAATGTTATCGTGTTCTGGTTTTTTGTGTTGTTTTCAAATTACTTATACTTTAATTGTCCTCTTCACACCTGCAGGGGATAGGGCCTTTACAACAGCTTTCCGTTTGCCCTGTTTTCAACTTAATAGTACTGTAAATGTACAGGTACTTAATTTAGCAATAATCATGTTTTAGCTTGAGTCAGGTGAAGTTTGCTAAGTTGTTGTTAGCTCATGAGAGCTTATGCTATACTCATGGATTGGTGTAGGCATCCCAGGTTAAAATTTTGGAGCAGTTTTCATATAATAACAGTATGCCATATTTTGAACAGAGATGCATGCACAATTCATCGAGTATGTTTCATTGTACCACCCAGGTTTCCGATGCAAGTAACTTTAAGCCTTATGGTGACCAAACTTGCATGGATTATACATTAATTCAGGGATGCACAAATCAAGAATGCTGGATCTGACCCACATTATCTGAACAACAGAACAGGTTAAAAATTTTGGAGTAGGTCCATTTCAAAGTAACTATAAGCCTACCTGGCAGGATGATACATCTAAGTATGCACACTACCAGACTTGCTATGGATCTACATTTTCCAGATAATTGAACAAATTCATGATTTGCATAAATGTGTAAATCATTGCTACTCAGAACTGTCGCTTCTCTGGTGTACACTTGTTTACGAGTTGCTTGCTGGCAGTGACGGTGCATCTTAAGCAAAATGAGTTATTTCGGATGAGACAATCAATGGAGTATATTGTACATAGTAACAACACAATGAACTTTCACTGCATTGCATTTTACTTACAGTTCATCTTGTTGCTTTAGTAATAATTGAAAAACAAAGTGTTGTCATTAAAACTTGTGTTATAAATGGTTTAAGTTACTCAAAAATGTTTTCATTAATGCATAAGGTACTTGAAGATGTTCTCATGGCAAAGGGCATTTTGGAAAATCAGTTCAAAAAGGTCTCAATTTCCCCCGATCAGAAGTAAAAACTCCTCAGTTGTTCTGTCTTTGAAAGAGACACAACTACAGTACAGGTACTTAATTACAGAGTACTAAGGGGATTATAAGAATACCAGTACATGTACCAATTTTAAAATAAAAAAGTTTTTCCTGAAACAATTAACATATACTGGTTTATGCTCATGCATCCAAATCATCACTTATTAGTGATGGTTATGCCATGTTTCACCATTCCCAGTAGAAAGAAACATTTGATTGGTCAATAGTTAACCTGAAGTCAAATCAATGAGGGCAATTTCTGTGTCACTGACATCCTGTGTAACAACGTACATCCTTTTTACTCATGTTTCAATAATTCTCACTCGTAAGAATATAAAATTCCCTCAGTAAATTTTACTTTGTACTTTTTTTAATACAGTAAGTAAAATTAATATAAAATAGTTTATTTTCAAGTTTTCAGGAATTATGTACAAAAATTAGATGATTATCAAAGTTTGATTAAAAACAAAATATTTTATCTTCAGAGAATTCAATTTGCATAAAATGATTTTCATTCTGATTAAAATTACACTTACGTATAACCAACTGTTCTATAATGTTCCAACGTAACACGGTCAAAGTTCAAAGTTTGGTTGAATGGTCATACTAAAATCCAAATACATACAAAAGTTAAAACATACAAGCAAATTGGTACATTTATTATTGTGCTGGTAAAATGAAAAGCCTAAGCACTAAAATGTTTGAATAAACAAGAAAAACATTTCCACTTGTAAGCAAAAAATATTTGAATTGCCATTTGATTTTCATTTAGTTTATCTATCTTTGCTGTAAAAAGACGTGTTTTACAGCGATATATTTGCTAATAAATGAAATTTTTTGGAAGTCAAAAAATAATCATATGCTAGTAGATTTCCCGACAAGACTTTTTCCAAAAGCTGTAAAAACTGAGGTAAGTGATAATTTTTCTCAATACCTGTTTTGCACATAAATGAGACATTTGAAATTAAAAAGAATCTCTGAGAAAAATTCATATTACTATTAAAACATACAATTGTGCCCTTTTCATGTATCAAAGTACAGAGAAATTCTGCATTTCTTGTGTGATTTCAATTGCTTGTATATTTTTTTTAAAAAATATCTGAAAACCTTGCACTCATTCAATTTCAAACAGATTAAGACCGTTATCATTTAAATACAAAGTTTGTAGTTTGCAATTTTTATGGCACAAACAAAACTTTAACTACCAGAATCTGGTAGCAAATTATAGGATACAAATAGGGTATAGCACAGCTAAAAATCTAGTGGTAATGCAAAAGTACTGCAAGATTTTATAACAAAAATATACAAATCGAAACATTTCATAACAATATATGATTTTACATGAAACAACCTTTCATAAAATGCATAAATGACAAGTTAAGGACTTTGGCCTTTTGATGAGTTATCACTTATCAAATATTGATAATGTCTGCAAAATTCAAGGTCTTTGGAAGAAATGTAACTTCCTGAAAAGACTGTTATTCAAAGAGTTTTTACATTTTTTTTTTCAAAATACATAATCAACATTTGACCTAACTGGACTACTTTTACTATTTCCTTAATGAGTTTCTCAATCCTGAGCAATTGGTTAATTATAGTTTATAGTAGTGAAAACTCTGTACGAAAGTGAAAATTTTTTTTTTAAACAACCTAACAAGTAAGATCTTTACGCTAACTGGTGTAATAAAGTTCCCCTTGTATTCCAGGCCCATTAGGAGTGATCTCCCTTGTTTCATACTCATATGTGATCACAGTTTCACCGGATGTCGAGGGAACAATAACAGTTCTCACTGCCCGTTCTGTCTCAATCTGAGAAGTTGGATTCCACGGTCGGCTGATATCTGTGTCATTCTGACCGCTGTAGGGAATATGGTAGTCCACAGTCCCATAATGCTCCACTACTTCCTCCTGGGAGTAGCCTGGCACTACTATAATAGGCTCCTCCACAGACTGGGACATACTTTCTGCTTTGATTTTTTTCTCTGGGGGTTGAGAGGAAGCTTCCCTGGGCTTCCGTTCTTTTACTGGATTGATTTTCATGCCTTCTGTAGGTTTCTGAAGATCTTCTTCCTTGACATACAATCCCATGACTGCTGCGATGCCTTCATACTTCTCATCATCATAATGTTCTGGATGGTTTAGTTTAGAGTGA